TCACTGTTACTATCACTCTAGCAGATGTCAAGTACAAAGAAGTAAAGGTACAAGCAGATATAACAAAGGTGAGATGACAAGGAATACAAAGCAAAGAAGAGATATCTAATAGTATCAATAAGTATGTCCTAACAGACGAAAAGAGAATACATATGATAAACTGAAATAAGAATAATGAATCACTAAGAATATAAGAGTCTACTAAACAGTACAAAGACACTGTAGGCTGTCTAAAAATTACTACAGATAGTTGATCCTCATAAAGGACTGATAAAAATTATAATCTGATGACTTTCACGATAACAGACGAGAGTTACAAATTGACGACTTTCACATTTCAATGAGTCAAATGTAAGGATTACAAGATGATGATCCTTGCAACACTAAATTTCAATAAATTTTCCATAACTTTAGGCATTTAGCACTAAACCACAAAATGTTTGCAGCTCTAACCACACCCCCAGTAAGTTAGAGAATTTTAGAAATGCCCCTAAATATTTTAACTTTTAGCATATAACGGCCATAATGTCTTATTTACAAGCTAACCTTTTGAAAAACCCTAAAAGTATGAAAATTAAAATGGCTTCCTAAAATCTATAATAACAAACAACACGCAGAAAATTCAAAAGTTACCAACAAAAAAAATTCTAAAAATCTAAAATTTTTAAAAAAGACCATAATTTTCTAAAATTATAAATGACACCTCCCCTCCCCCAAAAATCTAAAATTACAAAAGCCCTTAAATATATCTAAAACTACAAACAACCCCACTTAGAATTTGAAAAATACAAATAATCTCATAAAAACCTACAAATTCAAGCAAACATTTGAAAAATATGAAATTAAAAAATAATAATATAAAAATAAAAAATAATTGTTGATGGTTAAATATGCTCTACCCTGGATCAACGCTCAGCCTAAGTCCAAGAAGTGAATGCTCATGGGCTAAACACTTCATATGGGCCCAACTACAAGCCCATGACAAAGCCTACCCAAACGATAGTAAAGTTCGCCTAAGCCTCACGTGAACTTCGCCTAAAGGACCCACGTGGGAAGTGGGTTCCCTACGTTCTAGCAAAGTTTGCTAGAACAAACTTCGTCCAAAGTTGCTCAGCAAGCTTCGCCTAAAAGCTACTCATCGAGCTTCGCCCAAAGCTACTCAGCAAGCTTCATCTTCGACTGTTTTAGGTAAACCTCACCATTGTATATTTCAAGAGCTATTTTTATAAAATGGTTCTCCCCATTATCTTCTAAATTAATAGCTACTTAATCCGTAATTAATGGCCACTAGCTCCCCCTACCCTTCCTCTCCCTATAAGATGAGAGGAGATTGCTCATTTTTATGGGGGCATTTGGTATCCGCACTCGGCATTGAGCTAAGGGTCTTGGATGTAACGATCTTGATAGTTAGTTTCTCTTTATCCAGAGAAGATTTCGACATCTTCAAAAGAGCTTTGATAACCGTTAACCTGTAAAAACTCAACACTATAGTCAGATCGTCAATGAAGTACAAGAACGACACTCCATCGACACATGGAAAAGAACCCAGCTAATATAATGCGGACGGTCCGGATGGAGTCGGGAAGAAGAAACGTCACTTCAGAGAGAGTCAGAGAAGAAGAAGAGATCTTCAAAAGAACGACATCTTCAAAAGAGCTTTGATAACCGTTAACCTGTAAAAACTCAACACTTTAGTCAGATCGTCAATGAAGTACAAGAACGACACTCCATCGACACATGGAAAAGAACCCAGCTAATATAAAATTTTCTTGTTTCTTGTTTCTTGTAGTTTCCTTTGAATTATAATCTGTGCTAATTGTAATTCAAAATACCCGAAACAATGACAAATAACACCCTAAAAATTTAAAATTATAAACAACCCCCTAAAAATATAAAAATTACAAATTAAGCCTTTAAATTAAAAAAACTATTAAAACCCCTAAAAATACAATTTTTAAAACGTGCATAAAGTTAACAATTTTAAAGGCAAACAAATATAATACTAACTTTAAAAAAAAATCCATTCGTACCTTTTAAATCTAGAATATCCATACCCAAATATTTTGAAGCTCAACTACCTTAAAATCCAAGTTAGCTACTTCACATTTATCAACTTAGACCCACGTGTAACTACTGATACACCCGATGCAACCACTTGGCATCAGTATGGTAACTTATTAACTCAAAAATGGGTTTAAAAGTTAATCTTCATGCGTATTTTAAGAGTGGTTTCGGAGGTGGATGCGTACAAAAAATAAATCAGGGGAAATTATGAATTTATAAACAAAAAATTTTCAACCCTGAAGAGAAAATAACTAGCCACTGTTTTGAGCGCTGGCCGTTGTCGTCTCACAAATTAACGAAGTGGGTGGATTCTATCTTTTAATTTTAAAGGGGCTGAAAAAGAGCTAATTTCTTCCAGGCCCAACTTCACTCACAAGTCACAGCCCAACCAATCCACAAGCACAGAAATTCTTCTCGCGGGAAACATACTCTTTTAGCGGGAAACCGACACAAAAAAGATTAAAACCACCCCAACAAAAAACCGAAAAAAAAAATTCCCCTAAGTAGATCCCATCTCTCAAAACCCTAGAAATCCTCCATCAACATCAATGGATACAAGCCAAGATGAAGTTCCAGCCCTAACCCCATCGTTCCCAACCGGTAGAATAAAGAAAATCATAAAAATCGATCAAGAAATCAACAAGATCAACTCCGAAGCCCTCCACCTGATCTCCATCTCCGCCGACCTCTTCCTCGCCTCCCTCACCGAGGGCGCGAGGGACGCCGCCGTCGGGAAGAAGAGGCGGATCATAAAGATCGATCATTTACGATCTGCGGTTCGATCGCACGCGCCGACCTCGGACTTCCTTCTCGATTGTCTCCCGACCGCTGCGGAGACGGCGCCGGCGAAGGAGAAGAGGGCCAAGCTGGATCGGGTTGAGAAGCCGCTGCCGCCTGGGGCTCGAAGGATCGATGGGTTCTTCCGGAAGAATGCGGATCCAGTGGAGGGTTCTTGATCTTGATGAGGATGGTATGGCTATCTGTTTATGTCAGGTATCTTGTTTTCTTGTCAACTAGGGGCGTCTGCGATGCTTCTGGAAAAAAAAGATAATAACGTAGAAGAGTACTTTTTCAATCGAAATGGGTCAATTTCGTGGTTGATGATTATGATTTGTAAAATATGGATCGAGTGTAATTCATAGGAGAATAGCGTTTCTTTCTTCTCTTTTCTATTTTTTTTTTTTTTTGAAATGAACCATCTGTCAGAGAATAATCTCTCTTCGCGAAACCGTAACTGAAAATGATCTAAATCCCTAGTTCCACATCTTGCGATTACATTCAAGCTAACAGTCCTCAAACAGGTTCAGGTTTCGTACAAATTAACTCTCCTGATCGTACTCATTTATCAACTTTGTCGCAATGTTACTTTCTGAATCCTAGATTATCTATTCACGAAGAAGACAAATAGTATCAATATTAGAGAACATCCGGATAGAAAATGCAGTTATCGCCCCTGCCTATGTATGTAACTAATATCTCAGCCACACCATTGTTAGCCTGTAGGACACAGGCAAGATAAATCTCGGATATGCCATAAACCTACGATTTTTGGCTAACTGGGTAAGAGTTAGATTGTGATGCCCCATTGTAATGTGTAATAGTCCCACATTGACTGCTTACAAAGAAGTGATTGCGTTTACATAGCAAACCTAAAGAATTCAAGTGCAGCAATGGCTACTTAATTTTGATAGTGGTTTGAGCTAAACAACACACTGCACTTAGTACATCCCATGGCTTTAGGGCCGGTCCTGAGCATTCGGGGGCCCTAGGCAAAAACTTGAACAAAAATCTTAAAGGGGCCCTCCTACGGTCCTGAGCATTCGGGGGCCCTAGGCAAAAACTTGAACAAAAATCTTAAAGGGGCCCTCCTATATTCGTAATTTCATATATGTTATGCACAGATTCATACTTTGTTTATACAACTAATTCATGTATGTTAATAATGTTATGCATAGATTCTTGCTGTATAGAATCAATAACAAAAGCAAAAGTATTATTAGGTCATGAAGTGATGAAACAAAGATATCATGCTATTCTAAGTTACTAAGTATAGTCTGTTATCTGTATAGAATTATAGAAATATTCAATTATTCAAATATACTTATATACCTTGTAACCTTGACGGAGTCGCCGGCCAGAGGAGGCGCAGATGGCGGACTGCGGACGGTCCGGATGGAGTCGGGAAGAAGAAACGTCACTTCAGAGAGAGTCAGAGAAGAAGAAGAGATCTTCAAAAGAACGACATCTTCAAAAGAGCTTTGATAACCGTTAACCTGTAAAAACTCAACACTTTAGTCAGATCGTCAATGAAGTACAAGAACGACACTCCATCGACACATGGAAAAGAACCCAGCTAATATAAAATTTTCTTGTTTCTTGTTTCTTGTAGTTTCCTTTGAATTATAATCTGTGCTAATTGTAATTCAAAATACCCGAAACAATGACAAATAGCACCCTAAAAATTTAAAATTATAAACAACCCCCTAAAAATATAAAAATTACAAATTAAGCCTTTAAATTAAAAAAACTATTAAAACCCCTAAAAATACAATAACTACTGATACACCCGATGCAACCACTTGGCATCAGTATGGTAACTTATTAACTCAAAAATGGGTTTAAAAGTTAATCTTCATGCGTATTTTAAGAGTGGTTTCGGAGGTGGATGCGTACAAAAAATAAATCAGGGGAAATTATGAATTTATAAACAAAAAATTTTCAACCCTGAAGAGAAAATAACTAGCCACTGTTTTGAGCGCTGGCCGTTGTCGTCTCACAAATTAACGAAGTGGGTGGATTCTATCTTTTAATTTTAAAGGGGCTGAAAAAGAGCTAATTTCTTCCAGGCCCAACTTCACTCACAAGTCACAGCCCAACCAATCCACAAGCACAGAAATTCTTCTCGCGGGAAACATACTCTTTTAGCGGGAAACCGACACAAAAAAGATTAAAACCACCCCAACAAAAAACCGAAAAAAAAAATTCCCCTAAGTAGATCCCATCTCTCAAAACCCTAGAAATCCTCCATCAACATCAATGGATACAAGCCAAGATGAAGTTCCAGCCCTAACCCCATCGTTCCCAACCGGTAGAATAAAGAAAATCATAAAAATCGATCAAGAAATCAACAAGATCAACTCCGAAGCCCTCCACCTGATCTCCATCTCCGCCGACCTCTTCCTCGCCTCCCTCACCGAGGGCGCGAGGGACGCCGCCGTCGGGAAGAAGAGGCGGATCATAAAGATCGATCATTTACGATCTGCGGTTCGATCGCACGCGCCGACCTCGGACTTCCTTCTCGATTGTCTCCCGGCCGCTGCGGAGACGGCGCCGGCGAAGGAGAAGAGGGCCAAGCTGGATCGGGTTGAGAAGCCGCTGCCGCCTGGGGCTCGAAGGATCGATGGGTTCTTCCGGAAGAATGCGGATCCAGTGGAGGGTTCTTGATCTTGATGAGGATGGTATCTTGTTTATGTCAGGTATCTTGTTTTCTTGTCAACTAGGGGCGTCTGCGATGCTTCTGGAAAAAAAAAGATAATAACGTAGAAGAGTACTTTTTCAATCGAAATGGGTCAATTTCGTGGTTGATGATTATGATTTGTAAAATATGGATCGAGTGTAATTCATAGGAGAATAGCGTTTCTTTCTTCTCTTTTCTTTTTTTTTTTTTTTTTGAAATGAACCATCTGTCAGAGAATAATCTCTCTTCGCGAAACCGTAACTGAAAATGATCTAAATCCCTAGTTCCACATCTTGCGATTACATTCAAGCTAACAGTCCTCAAACAGGTTCAGGTTTCGTACAAATTAACTCTCCTGATCGTACTCATTTATCAACTTTGTCGCAATGTTACTTTCTGAATCCTAGATTATTTATTCACGAAGAAGACAAATAGTATCAATATTAGAGAACATCCGGATAGAAAATGCAGTTATCTCCCCTGCCTATGTATATAACTAATATCTCAGCCACACCATTGTTAGCCTGTAGGACACATGCAAGATAAATCTCGCATATGCCATAAACCTACGATTTTTGGCTAACTGGGTAAGAGTTAGATTGTGATGCCCCATTGTAATGTGATATGCCATAAACCTACGATTTTTGGCTAACTGGGTAAGAGTTAGATTGTGATGCCCCATTGTAATGTGTAATAGTCCCACATTGACTGCTTACAAAGAAGTGATTGCGTTTACATAGCAAACCTAAAGAATTCAAGTGCAGCAATGGCTACTTAATTTTGATAGTGGTTTGAGCTAAACAACACAATGCACTTAGTACATCCCATGGCTTACACCATACTGACAGGAAAATATACATAAACAAAATGGGTGAGAAAAGAGAGAAGTACGATTAGTAGGAGGTAAGAAGTAGAAAACAAAATAAATTAATTTGAATTTCTGAATCAATTTGTCACATTGCTCCAAGCTAGTAGTTCACTAAGACTATGTTAGAAGACATCCACAATCTACCATATCATGTAAGTATATGATAGCTATGTATCTCCATTATCAAATTATATTGCATAGTATCCAAGTATAAGTATAGTATTGGTGTATCTCTCCACTATAGAATTGGATTATCCATTAGTATCTAAGTATAGTGTTGGTGTACCTCTCCACTATAGAATTAGATTACCCATTTGCAATGTTTTAAAGGTCGCTATTCTTGTAACTTAGTACCTTGCATATTGCTAGGTGATGATGGTTACTAAGGCGGTATAGTATTGGTGTATCTCTCCATTATAGAATTAGATTACCCATTTGTAGGCTTGTAGCCTTTTAAAGGCGATATGCTATTCTTGTAACTTGGCACCTTGCATATTGCTAGGTGATGAAGGTTACTAAGGTGATCGCCTTTTGGCGCCTAAAGAGCTTGGCGCCTCAGGCGCTCACCTAAGACTGACATATAATGCAAAGCGCGATGTGTTTTGTCTCTATTTAAAAATTACGAGGATGCAAAAGATGTTTGATAAAGCAAAGTTTGTCTTTGTTACTAAATTTTTGTGTTTGATTTTTCATTGTCCATGTTTGTTACAGATATGGTTACTCAAATCTATATGATATGATTACGGATATGATTTTATAGTGAAATATCAGGATTTGTATTCAAAATATCTGAATACATATTAATCATACTCTTACAATAGTTTTAATTATTAGATTATGGATTTGTGGTTCATTTTGATGATCAAGATGTCTATTCTTTTAGCTTTTCTGTTATAATGAACATATGAATGAACTCTTTTGTATCACATGAACTATGTTTTCTCATATCCATTTTGTATCTGCATACATATCCTCTTATATACCCACATATGTATCCATAACTGTATCCTATTTTAGCGAATATGGATATGAATTTTCCTTACCAACGTATATCCACATTTGTATCTATATCCGAGATGAGTAAGAGGATATGGATATGGTAAGTATTATACCCAAGTCGTATCCGGACTGAATGCACCCTTAATAACCTCTCCAACGGTCATATCCATACCCCTAAATTGTCGCACCACCATGAGCACTACCAAAGCCCTTCCGGTCGATTGTCGCTGCTATCTACAGTCTGTGGCCTATCATAGCTCTGGTTGCTACCTGCCATAACCCTGCGACTCTGTCTGTTGCCTACCATGGCCTTGCGGCTCTGCCCACTGCAGCTTTGTTGGATACAGCTCTGTCGGCTATCGCTCGGTCTGCCGTGGGTTGTTATACCACTGGCCTGCCTACCGCGGCTCAGTCTACCACCCGCTATCGGTGCCAATCACGGTTGTTGCCCAGCACCTCATCTATCATTGAATCCTTGGCCTCTTTCTCCCCCATGTGTCCGCCACTAACAACCATTGTCGTCATTGTGTGCTTTATCGTTGATCACTTTCTCCATCGGCCAAGTCAATTATTTGATTGCCTCCACTAGACCTCTAATTTGTTTCATGTTCTCTTCATATCCCTTCTCTAAATCATCAAGCCTCTTCTGATTTGACAAAGTTTGATTGTCAGTAGTTGTTGACTCTCCTTCCACCATTATTGATGATTGACTTCTCTCAATGAATGCACTAATGGATGGGAGCCCAAACTTGACTTTACACCCCGACGAAGCAAGCAGTATGAGATCTTTATGTAATCACTGACAAATCAAGTAGATATGTAGCCTAAGAACACCAAGAACCAAGTCTAAAATTCTAAAAATAAGAAATCCTAATTTTATTGATAAAATTCTCCCAAGTTTTCAATCACCAAAAAGATAATAAAATCCTAATACCTAACCAACCTTAAATAGCCTATGTTTTGGCTTCCTAAACAAATTTATTTGTAAACAAATTTCTACTCCTAAACAATTCCCTACTTCCTAAAGATATCTTATTTTCCTTAACAATTCCCTACTTTCTAAAAAATCATATTTGTAATCAAATTAAATCCAATTAAGACTCTAATTCCTTCTTTATGTAGCTTCTTGTAATTATGTACCACGTGAGTGCAATCAATCTTATGCACCGATGGCTTCGGAATCATATCAAATACAAAGAAACTTGGAGATATCCCATTGTGGGTGAGATATATAACGACTTCATCCCTTCAAATAAAGATGCATATCAGTTTTCATGTATCCATTTTTCTTGAAAGCCTCTTTGAGTTATGTAATGGACTTTGGTACAAAGTTCATTAAGGGCCAAAAGTCGTATTTATTGCAATCAGTGGGTAAAGTTCTTTTATAAAGGTTCTTCAAGATCACCTGATCAATGATTAAGAAAAAAACTATTTTTTCGATGAGTTTGATGCACGAGTTTATGCCCTCTTATTGTGACACCTATCTTGCTGCATCTCTCTCATTGTGGCTTTGTAAGTCTGTTATGCTCTGAAGCCGCACACATTATATTTGTCTTGAAACATTTGCCACGATTTCATTGATGGCGGTTGGAAAAAAGATTTCCCTTGCTCCCACTGTACTTTCAGCAATACATGCCAGGTTAGAAGATATTGGTAATCACACTGGTAGACCATTTCTGTCTACATTCAGATTTCCTACTAGCTTTTTCTATGCTTGGAGTGGACCATGCTTCCAAAAGACTCGTGTTGTAAGAAAGGTCAACGCTGATATAAAACATAAAGGAAATGTCCCATATTTTTCATTTCAGGATGTTTTGGCTACTGTATTTTATCCCCAAACATGTTCTCTTATATACAAGGGTTGAGAAGTATTTTGTTTGGAAGCCTTTTCCGTATCGCAGTTTGGAAGATGCACTTGTTAAAGACGGAAGTTACTGATGGGAGAGTCAAAACTGTCGACAACATTATTAGAATACTTGATTTATCTGTGCCCAAGTATTCTCTCACATACTTGAGTAAATGATATGCGCTGAGCTTTATAGTTCTCACTGGTTAACAAGGCAATTCGGATTCGTGGAGCACTTGGTTGAGGACATTGACATTCTTCACTTGGTGTTTCAGCAGCTATTGGGAAATTTCCATCCAATCTTGAACATCCTCAAAAAATTATTAGTCTAAGCAAACGTCATATAAAACATATTAATCGTTATGCTCATTGATGGTCAAATAGCGTCCATGCATTAGTTGTTCATAATGTTGATTTTTTTATTCAGAAGAATGGGGGGAAAATGTGAGGTGAAAAAGATTGCTCCTATAGTTTTGATATTCAATGTAAACTAGTCGTGAAAACCGTGCAAAGCACGACATATCATTTTTACTACAGTAATCCTGATTTTGAATGCTGCAGTAATGTTTTTTAGCTTTTTGGGTTGCTACAGTTTTTAAAATTTCTACAGTACCCAATCCGCTTTTTGCTACAGTAATACGATACATGATATGTTCCTGTATCATGAATAGAATAGTGAATCTTAAGTTCTCCCGTTTGTATAGAGGAATAGATTTGAAAAAGAGGAGCACAGACCAAAACTTTATCAACAGTCATAAGATCTTGTAATTAGAAGTCATGTTATTATTGATTTGGGTGCCGGCTCTTTGCTTGCTAAAAGAAAGACACAATTTAAGGGAATTAAAGACAGGAATTCAAACTTCTGGGATAGATCCTATTGCTGGCCGAAGTAGTCATAACTCTCCACCATGTATGGACTCTTTACACGTATGTGTTCATATGTATTTTTCATACCATGATCTTTATATATATATATCTTTCTTTCAGAAAATGAAGCAGCACTATTCCTTGCTTATCAAGCACAAGAAGATGATAGCGGTGATTAAGAAACTATGGATACTTCATTCAAGACAATTACTAGTTTGGGAAGATCTTGCTGTTGCCTATTTTGCCTTCAAAATGACTCTACCAAGTCATGACGGTAAGAATTTTGTATTTAAAAGCGTTTTGAGGTATATATACCCAGGATCACCAGGAGGATGGAGTCATCATTTTGCACTTTGCTTTCTGAGACTGCTACTTGTATCCAGACAAAACACAATGAATCTAAGAGCATGCCGATCAAGATAATCATTCATATTATTAAATTCAAACGCAACAAAATCCAATTAAGCCGCTACAAAGCGCGAAAAGCTATTGGGTAATTCTCTTATTTTGTTCATATTTTAACTTTACTGAGTGATGGGCACAAGTAATTGACCGCTAAAACCATCAGCAATATGAACCTTTTCAAAGAAGATGAAAAAAATAGTACAACACTT